CCCCTTCTTTTTCCTTCCCTTCCTTTTTCTTTCTTCCCATTTCCTGGTACTGGAGATATATCCTAGGCTTCTTACATTATAGGTAAGCACTAAAGTCATCTTTCCATTGACTTTATCATTCTCCTTGTAGAAAATTCTCATTGATTTATATTTCTACCTCTCCCTTCCTGTCTCTTAATACATATGTCTGAAAGAGAAATATTACTCAAATAGTTTATTTTATATCTAAAACTCCATGTTTTTAAAATTTAAAGCAAAAGATCACTTGATCCAACTTGAGATCTATACAACCAATAACCAGATTCCAACAAAGGTCTTCAGAGAAATCATAAGAGAATATAGTTGTCCCTTTCATTTAAAGATGTATCCTATTCAGCCACAAATTATCTCATTCCTTTAAAATGTGTTCTTACTTGTTACCTGTTTTCCCTCTTAGGGTAGAGTTTGCTGACTTCATTAGATACACACAGTAGATAATAAGTATTTGTTGAATGAGTGAAAATTGTTACACAAAGGAGTATCATTTTATTTTTCTTTAAAAATTGAATACCTAATTATACCATTTGTTCCTGTTGATTCTTTGACTTTGTAACATTCTGCAAGGTCTACCCAAATATTCTGCCACTTGTCATGAATATTGATACTGCTTCTAATTCACTACAGTAAAAATACTGTCAAGCCAGGCACAGTGGCACACATCCGGAGCTAGTGTCCATTAGATCAAGTAGGTTTTTATATGCATTTTCCTATGTGTATCCACTAGTTCTAGCTTTTGTATTCAGTAACTCTAGCTTTTGAGGTTTTTCTGTAAATCTTCTGAATATTAGTTTCTTACCTGTTTGACTTGTCAAACTCTTGAAAGAAAATTATTACAGTTTCAGGGACTAGGAAGTTGGCTCAGTGGTAGAGCGCTTGCCTTGTATGCATGAGGCCCTGGGTTTGATTCCTCAGCACCACATAAGCAGAAAAAAAAAAGCCGGAAGTGGCGCTGTGGCTCAAGTGGTAGAGCACTAGCCTTGAGCTGAAGAGCTAAGGGACAGTGCCCAGGCCCAGAGTTCAGGCCCCACAACCGGACCGAAAAAAAAAAAATTATTACAATTTCAGTACAATTGTGAATCTTCCTTTTTGTTCATTTTGTCTTAGATATTTTGAGGCTATTATTAAGTGTATATACTTTTTAAATTGTTATAGCTTCTTAAATTGAGCTATTTACTATTTGCAATGCTTTTATCTCTTAAAATGCTTTTTGTCTTAATGATTATATGTTTAATTCATAGCCACATGTGGTAGTACACACCTGTAATCTCAGCGCCCAGGAAGAGTACTGCAGAGCCATCCTGGGCATAAACACATAGCATGAGCCTGTCTTAAAAAAAAGAAAATTGGTCTTACCCTGTTCTATTTCCTTTCAAAGTCTGTGCTACCATGATTATGTATTTTGATCATATCTTGATGTAATATGCCCACAAAGACATTTTTATTGTCTTTTTATGGTCAACATATGTTTTAGCCAGTCCAGGATGGTGCATATCTCTAGGGCCAGCACTCTAGAGATTGAGTTTGAGAACTGCTAGGGCAATATAATTAGACCACATCCAAAATTACTAAATTTAGTGAAATTATATTTGAAAATACTATCTGCCAAATTTCTCTGATAGAACCATAGTTTAAAAAAAAAAAGGTCTGAGAAACCCTACTGAGAGAGAAAAATCTTAATTTTGTTTGCTCAGTATTTTCCCAATTTCCCCCAATAATAGATGCAGAACTCATATTTACAGAACAGTTTGAGGATATTTCTACCACCAGCCCTCACAAACTCCCCTACTAAAAAACTTAGCCCTTAATATTCCTTGTAGAATCAAGCTTCTTTTTCTTCATATGTTATATTTGCTGATATTGTCAAGGATTCTGCTGTTTCATATGACTTCTTTTTTTTTTTTTGTTCTTTTTTTATTGTGAAAATACTGTACAGAGGGGTTACAATTACATGGGCAAGATAATGAGTACATTTCTTATCAAGCGTTGTAGCCTCCTTTGTTTCCCCTTCCCATCCTCCCCCCACCCCACCACCCAATCCTCCTTCCCCCCCACACACACACATATAAATTCTTTACTCTCCTATAGAAATTAGATTTTTTTTCCAAGAATGAATCTTGCTTAAAGTAGCTATCTATGACCTTCCTTTAAAAAAAAAAAAAAAACTAATCTGTATCCTGTGTCAGAAGCCACTAACCCTTTGCACTTGGTCTTTTCTCCCTCTTTATTTTGATGAATTTCCTCTAAAACATTCAAAATTATTAGCCTTTCTTCTCTTGACATCACTCTTGATTTTCCTATCTTGGTTTTCCATTACTTACTATACATAAATCATAAATAGCTATCTTTCTGGTTTCTACCCTGAGCTCCTTTTTCTCATTTTTTATTTTCTTCTTGAATTTTATTCTTTTATTGAGTCACTTGTTTATCCAATATATAGTAATCAATGTGATACCTTAATTGCAGGTATTAAATTTAATATATAGGGAATATTACACGTAGACTTACGGTATTAAGTGTAAGAAGTTTGAGCATGTCTTATTTTTTTAAGTTGTGTCAGAGAAAGTGAGCTATTTGAGAATTTTTTATTTTAGAGATTTTTCTTATTCCAATACTCATTAGAGTATATTCTTAAAAAAATGTTTGTCAGAACTAATGATGCTTGGAATTATTACCAGATTATAGTACCTAGTATATTTATGCTAGACAAGACTGCCTAAATTTAGGGTAGGTGGTCTCCCAGGCCATGACTTGTGAAAGAAAGCCTTTTCCTTTCTTTCCCAGGGCAGTAATCATCCTGATACTCCATGCTGGACCTACTAAGTACCAATAGTGTTTTGAAACAAACCAAAGCTGTCAATGGTATATTTCTACTTTGCATTCTGACTCTGTCTTTTCTTCTAAGCCTTTGTCCATGATATCCACACACTTATACAGCTCTAAACCTCCTACTGCTCTCCTATTGAGGTCACCTTAGCTTTCCTCATACTACAAAATTATTCATGGAAGCTCAGAAAACTCATATTTCTACCCTAGCAATGGAATAAAACAAGAATAAAAAGTGTCATGAAAAATCATGCACTGATAGATTCTAGTCATGCTCTGGTAAATTTCTATGTTTTTTTTTCTCTCATCTGGAAAGTGGAGAAATTACACTAGAGTAATTTATATCTAAGGTTCAAGTTCTGTGAGTTTAAAATCAGTTCACACAAGTATGAATAATGGTAAATTAAGGTGTAAATAACTGATTGGTCAGGAATTTGCATTTTGATAGAAATAAAGTACAGTGTTTAAAGTTGGGTTTTTATTCATGGTACCTGACCATCTAGGAAGGAGGACAGTTGCAGCTTTTGTTGCCCTTAGGCACTGTGCCAGTCCTACCTATGACTCACTTTATGTCGCATTGCCAAATGAAGGACTGGTTAATAAAACTATGCATATACCCACCTAAACGTAATGTCTTCAAGATTCCTCCATTTTATAGCATGTGTCAGAAATTCCTTCCTTTTTTAAAGCTAATTAATGTTCATTGTGCTTGTTTTATTATGTTTATTTCCATATGCACACATGAGTTATGTGAGTGTACAAATACATAGCTTTTTGCTTTTAGTTTTTGTCTTTATTTGGGGGGGGGGTTATGGCAATAAGTTAGAAATACTGGAGCACATAATAACTCCTTTTTTCTCTGTATATCCTATTTTTTTGTTTGTTTTTTGTTTTTTTTTGTTGTTGGTTGTGGGGCTTGAACTCTGGGCCTAGGCACTGTCCCTGAGCTCTTCAGCTCTAGGCTAGTGCTCTACCACTTGAGCCACATTGCCACTTCCAGTTTTCTGGTGGTCCTTCCCCGGGCTGGCCTTGAACCACAATCCTCAGATCTCAGCCTTCTGAGTAGCTAGAATTACAGGAGTGAGTAATTACCTGTTTTCTAATTTTATATAGAGTTTTTTCTTTTCTTTTTTTCAAGGACTCATACTATTTTCCACAGCAGTTACACAACTTAATATTCCAATTGAGATTTTTGTGCTGTTTCCTAACAACATTTCATGCAATGAGCTTCAATGTTAGTGATATTTCTTCCCTGATTAATAGCCCATTTATGTAACACTAAGAAAAAATACTCCCAACTACTTATAAAAGGCATCCCAGGGCTGGGAAGGTGGCTCAGTGATAGAGCGCTTGCCTTGCATGCATGAGGCCTTGGGTTTGATTCCTCAGCACCACATAAGCAAAAAGAAAAAAGCTGGACGTAGTGCTGTGGCCCAAGTGGTAGAGTGCTAGCCTTGAGGTGAAGAGCTGAGGGACAGCGCCCAGGCCCAGAGTTCAAGCCCCACGACCAGGCCCCCCCCCAAAAAAAGGCATCCTAGGGCTGGGAAGGTGCTCAGTGGTAGAGCGCTTGCCTTGCATGCATGAGGCCCTGGGTTCGATTCCTCAGCACCACATAAGCAGAAAAAAAAAGCAGGAAGTGGCACTGTGGCTCAAGTGGTAGAGCGCTAGCCTTGAGCTTAAGAGCTGAAGGACAGCGCCCAGGCCTAGAGTTCAGGCCCACGACCAGACCCCAAAAAATAAAAATTAAAAAATAAAACAAAAGGCATCCCAATCTTACATACATACTAAATGATAAAAAAAACAAACTTAGACAATAGGTAAATCGATTAAAACCTCTAGAATTTTTTTTATAAATTATGCAACTTCTAATATTAACAACCTTTGTAAAAGAAATAAGTAAAAAGTAGCTGCTTACCAATAGTGTATAAAAATGATACCCTTCCTAAAGGTTTTTTTACTTCATTTCTGAAAGGAAGTGCTTCAGAGATTATAGTTGTTACCATCCTTAACCTGTGTCTTAGTGACAATTTAGAATAACAGCTTCACAGGACAGTAGACAATGTATCCCAGATTTAGGGCTCCATATATTTGTGATTTCTATTAAATATCCTAATAATGTTTATTTGTTTTTGTTTAAGGATTGTTCAAGTTTAGAAGAATATAACATTGCTGCAGCATTACTCCCTCTAACCAGTGCTTTCTATAGGGTAAGTTGATCTCTGTATAAGATTAATGGAAGTTAATTAATCTTGTCCTTAGTGTATTGAAGATGTACCTATGGTTATATTTGTCATAACATTTATTACATGCTATATGTAGAAAATGTAATATCAAACCTTAAATCATTACTACAGCATGCCCCCCATTCAACTTGCTTTATTTTCTTCATAACACCTGTGATTCTGTAATACATTGATTTTTTTAACATTTTTTTCTCCCTACTGTTTAAGACTAAAATTCATGAGACTTCTAAAACAATAAAAGGTGAACAGAGGAAGCAGCTGCTTCCTCTAGGGCTTAGGCAGAATACTCAAAAAAGGAAACTGGGAAGAGGGTTCCTCCTCCAATGTAGGTCAATTCATGTCCTGTTGAAGTGGCCACTGACAACATTGTTTTCTGAGGTGCTCCAAACCAAGACTGGCAGGCATGAGGGCTAGCAACACTTACTGGGTATCTGTTTGTGATGCCACTGGATCTTCTAGAGTACTATCAGGGAAACCATCACTTGGTGTACCATTGAAACTTCAGGGATAGAAGAAAAACCACTTCCTACTAAAGAGTCCCTAACATATGTTATTTTGACAATACCAAACATTGTGCTCACAGAGCATTGCAAAGGAGGGGATAGATTTGGAAGAGTCACTGCATTGAAAATTGATAATAAAAGGGGTTAAGTAAGGTACACTGATTCTTGGATATTTTCTGGATTTGCCTCTTATGGAAAATTATTTCTAGTTCTTGGTTGGTTTTCTTAATTCAAGAAGTACATGTAAATTGCATTAGCCTGGCTGCAAATTGCAGATGAGCCACCCTCATATTTTCCACCTAGTATAACTTGCTAAGTCTTGAGACTTACTCAACGGTGCCTTAGGAAATGGACTCAACTACTTACTACTTTTTAAGTACTATAATAAATAATCTTTAGTACAACTATAGTTTATTGAACATGTAAAGTTACTTTTTCAGTGAGCATCATGACAGCAACAATACTGACATGGCTCCTAGAATTTAATACTCTCTCTAATATAGGAAATAACTTAAAATGAAACTAGTCCATCATACCACTCACCAGATGGACATTTTCTTGGATAAAGTACTATGTATACATAATTAGAAAATTCTATATTGTGAAAAGCTATAAAATGTGAAATAAAAGCTTCCTTTTCTATCTCTACCCCATTTTCTTCCTTAGGGTAGTGGGAATATATGATTTAAACAGGAGTCATATGTTATTTCCCAAATATACAGATAAAAATTATCTATTTTTTCTAAAAGTGAAAGGAATCATACTATTCATACTATTTTCTCACATGATGTCTGACACAAAGTCATAGATGAATAATAAATAGTCTTTACCTTCAATAAACATACTTTCTAATATCTTCTGTATTCATTATTCACATATGGACAGTAGAGGACCATTTCAAAGTTAATGCATAACCTTTGTCTTATACTTGTTTCCTTAGGTCCTATTTGTTAACAGATTGTTAAATTAAGTGCTAATTAAATGCTTAAAGCACGAGTTCTTATTTTAATGTTACTTTCCTAGAAGAAAAAAAATTGTAGAGTGAGAGAAAGCCAATAGAATGAAATTGAACTAAAATTTGTGTTATTCCTTCCCAGAAACAGCAATGGGAAATTATGAAGGCTTTAAGCTTCTTCATCACAAGCCAGCATTTAATGCCTTCTTCCTACATGACCTATGTATCTTAGAGTCATCTTATTGTAGTTCTTTGTAACCTAGATTTTTTAGAGAGTTTCCTGGAATCTATCAAAATGTGTAAATCCCTCCTTAACTTACTTTTTTTGAAGCATATCAGTTAGATATTGATGCTCAAAATGATCTCAGAGGAGCTCATACATTTTCCTTTGCTACCCATCGTTATTTATTTTACCCTAGTAGCAAAAGTAAATGCCCTGTTTATCTTAAATCCAAGCACCCTGAAATAAAGACTCCAAATTACAAAGATCTCCCACATACACTTGACATTTTGAAGCTGTTTTGTAAGTTGAAATGGGTCCTACTTCCTAAGCATTAGTTAGGGACCAGTCTTAACAGAACAACATTCTTCAAGACTCTCACTTTATTGTGCATGTAAAGATTCTTTTCTCCTTTCTACCCATTCAAAATATTTATTAACAGATTTATTGAGATACAAGAAAATTTACCCATCATAAGTATATGTCAGTGATTTTATGTATTTACAGAATTGTAGTGATTAAGCATTGGCATGACTATACACCAAATAATTTGTGTCATCCCTCAATGTTAGGATGTATTGACTAGATGTACAGCCTCCATCAGTTTTATCACCTTTATTTGGCCATGTGCTTCTGGTTTCACTTGGTAGTCATCACCACAGCAGCCACAGGTTTTTTATTCCATTCCAGTCTTAATTACTAATCTCTATAATACTCAAACCACATATCATACTTTAAGTAATTTTATTCAGTTCTGAAAACTGAAAAAGAGTAAAGAGGCTAGCCATCAGGTTCCAGTGACTCATGCCTATAATCCTAGCTACTCAGGAGACAGAGATCAAGAAGATTGAGATTTGAGGCTAGCTCAGGCAAAAAGTTCATGAAACCCCTATCTCAACCAATAGCTGGACACTAGGGTACATTCCATTCATTCATTCACAACAAGAGACTAAGATTAGGAGGATCACAATTGCAAGCCAGCCCATGCAAAAGAATTAATTACACCCCATCTCAACAGAAAACAAAACTGGATATAGTTATGTGCAACTGTTGGCTGAGCTACAGCATAAAGCATAAATAAGAGGATCATGGTCCAGTCCAGCTTGGTCAAAAAGCATGACCAGAACAAAAATTGCTGGAAATATGATTCAAGTGGTAGAGCGCACATGAATAAAAAGGACAGAGATGTGGCCTAAGTGGTAGAGTTCCTGCCTTACAAGTGCAAAGCCCTAAGTTCAAGCACAACTACTGCTCCCCCCACCAAGTTCCAGTAAAACTAAAATATGTTTCAATGAGTCTCAATGAAGTACACCTCTCAAAACATTTTTTCTTTTCCCTTTTGTCTAGAGATAGTGAATTGACAGCACTACTATCCCCTAATTTCCCCAGACATTTTCATGTGTATTATCTGTCTAGCATCCATACTGTCTTGTCTAGCATACTTAAGCTTTAGCTTAGAGTGCACAAGGGGAAGAAATGCCAATTAATTGGATGCTATGATTTAAATGATTGTCCTAGGATTTATAGTCTCTAATTTCTACAAATCTCTAATAGAAAACACAAAATGCTCAAATTACAACAAATACTTTTTGTGTTTCTATGATGATTTAGAGGTTACTTCAATACTGACTTGTGCCTTACTCTTTAATATGGACCCTAATTGACAGTTTGTACATAATTCTGATAGAATCTAAATAAACCTTTTATAGTACCAAGAGTGCAGCTAGAAAAAAATGGTATAGCAATATTTTCAAAAGGTATTTTGTTATATTTTTATTTGATAAATGATAAAAAGTTCTTTAAAAAATCTACATTTGGGGGCTGGGAAGGTGGCTCAGTGGTAGAGCACTTGCCTTACATGCATGAGGCCCTGGGTTCGATTCCTCAGCACCACATAAGCAGAAAAAAAAAAAAAGCTGGAAGTAGTGCTATGGCTCAAGTGGTAGTGCACTAGCCTTGAGCTGAAGAGCTGAGGGACAGCACCCAGGCCCAGAGTTCAGGACCCCCTCCCAAAAAAATCTACATTTGGGGGGCTGGAAACATGGCTCAGTGGTAGAGTGCTTGCCTTGCATGCATGAGGCCTTGGGTTCGATTCTTCAGCACTACATAAGCAGAAAAAAGCCAGAAGTGGCGCTGTGGCCCAAGTGGTAGAGCACTCGCCTAGAGCTGAAGAGCTAAGGGACAATGCCCAGACGCAGATTTCAGGCCCCACAACCAACCAAAAAAAAAAAAAAAAATTACATTTGGGTTGAGAAAAATGTGAATGTGTTTACTACAACAGAAATCTGGTACACTAGAATTTTATAATGGCTAGAGAATTAGTTGTTACTTTTATTTCCTCCCTTCATTTCTGCTAGCATTTTGGAACAATTTGGCATTCCTTCTTCCCTCTCCCTTTCAACATAACCTCTCCTATGGCTTACTTTTCCTTTCAGTTTTTGAAGGCCGGTCTTTTTCCTAGTGCTCCTGAAAGTCTCTGCTTCTGAGAAACTGTACTATAATTCGTTTGGACTTCTATTTTTCATTAAAATTATTCTATTCACTATATAGGTAAACTGAGAGAATAATTTACAGAGAATCTTTAGAACAGATTAACTTTTGTTTTCTAGTGAATATATTTTTTTAATTTCTTTTGTTTTAACTTGGAGCATTTTTTCTAAATATTTTGATCTTTTTATATGATAACCAAAAGTTGGAGCCCTTTTGTTCATTCTCCAGAACAATGAGGCAAACTTGAAATGCAGTCCTATTCTGTTCAGAAGAACTACTACCAAGTCCCAAGTGTTAGAAATACAAATGTGAATAATACATAAACTTACAAGAAGATAGTGAAAGTCATTTTTAGGCAACATAAGAATACATGAAGCCAGGCACCAGTAGCTCATGTCTGTAACTCTAGTTCTTCAGAAGGCTGAGATCTTAGGCTCACGGTTCAAAGCCAGCCCAGGTAGAAAAGTCCTTAAGATTCTTATCGCCACTTAACCAGCAAAACGCCAGAAGTGGAGGCATGGCTCAAGTAGTAGAATGCCAATCATGAATGAAAAAGCTGAGTGAGAACTTGAAGCCCCAAGTCCATTAGTTAGCCATAAAGAAAAATGAAATCATGTCATATACAGGAAAATGGATGGACTTGCAGTACATCATATTGAACAAGACAAACTAAAAAATACATCATGTGCTTTTGCTTATATGTGGAAGATAGACCTAAAAGACATACTTATTCATGGACATGTAAATGCCTATTTATTCCTATATGCATAATTATATTTGTATGTAGGTATATGTA